CTTGTATATTCCCTTTACATCGGACCTACCAGAAATTGTAAATACTATCGTTGCCACATTTGCGGATGATATGACCATTTTATCTGTCCACGACAAACCGGTTCAAACTACAGCAAATTTACAGTTAAACTTGGATGAAATTTCACATTGGTTTAAAACATGGAGGTTCAAAATTAGTGAAAATAAATCAGAAAACATTACTTTTACCCTAAATCTGGCTACATGTCCTCCAGTATCCATGAACAATATTTACCACCCTAAAGTAACAGAAATAAAATACTTGGGCATGCACTTAGATGCAAAGCTTAATTGGAAGGCACATATCTGGACTAAAAGACAATATCTAAATTTTAAAATAACTAAGCTTAATTGTCTTCTTGGATCTAAATCAAAACTTAGTACACAAAATAATGTTACTTTGCAGAAAAGTTATAAAACCAATTTGGACTTATGGGATCCAACTTTGGGGATCATCAAGCAGGGCCGGACTCAGGACTACAGGGGCCCCGGGCAAATTTTCCAATGGGGCCCTAGGATTTCAGTTCGGGGGGGGGGGTCCTCCAGTGAGATTGGGGGGTCCCCCCGGGAAAATTTATAAATTTAGGCTTCAAATAGAGCAATTAAGGGCCAAATAAGCAATAAGTTCTATATAAAAAATTGTTCCTAAAATATAACTATTTTTACATATTTTAATTTTATACACAAAAATAAAAATCTAGTGCTTTGTAGCATGGTAGGCTACCATAATATATTTGGATTAGAAGTATTGATATATTTTTGTTTATTACGTATTTAAATTATCGATTATTGCCGACGATTTGTATGGTTTTTCAATATTACTACAATATAGGTGTGATTATTTTATTTTCATAATGTTTTTGGTACCTATATCTTTCTCGTTTTTATAATATGTTAAAGTCCTAGCATGAAAATTACCATTGAGGACTTTCAAGGTTGAGTTTTTTATTGACGAGCAAAATCTTGCAATGTCTAATAAACACTCACAAGCTAACTATTTATATGAGAAACTGAAAGATGTTTAAATGGATCCAATATCGATTAATACAACACAAACATAGCATTGAATCAACGTAAGACAATTTCAACCAACTTGACGTGACCTCTAGTCTCAAAGGACAAACTATGGGAGTAAAGTGATTTAAATTGTTTTGGATAGGCGATAAGGCATTTTATGTGTGTGTATGCGCGTGCGTGAGACAGAGAGGACTAGACAGGATCCCTTATCAGCTCATTATCATTTACTGTTGCAGCTGCTTCTGCTTATTCGCTTATTTTAAATTTGACTCCAAAGACTAAATTGGAGATCAAAATTTTGACGCATAACTTAATTAATTACTATTTTACAAAACCTTTAGATTGGACGGATAATATACTTCTACCCCTTAAAATCCTGATTGGTATATACTTAGAGGTAAAAGAAAAGAAAAACATTTAATAAAACATAAACGGAGCAATATTTTTATTTTTTAAAGTATTTGAACACCAGTGAATCTCCATTTAAAACAACACAACTTTACAAGTTACGTTCTACGTTGGGACAAGTGTTTTCATATTTATTGTATTTTTGCCCCAAGCGCGGGACCCCCTTCAACTCATTCGCCGCGGCCGTACGTTCGGGCGAGCGGCTTCATTGAAACTGAAACTTGTCCGTCACAGCCTAGCACATATGCTTGTGTAAACCAGGCCTAAGCGTGGGGCCAGTGCAACTCTGAGAAAAAGTCCCTTAGGGTCAAGAATTTCATTCCTAGTAATGCCTTAAAATGCACCTAACAATAGCCTTGAACATAGGATAGCGAAAATGAAAATAAAGCTGTTACAAAAGAAGGCCATTTGGTAAGTGTCTGATCAATTTTCGAAGTTAATGATAAAAACTACTGTACAAAGGGGGCCCCTGTCGGGGCCCCCCTTGGCTCGGGGGCCCCGGGCGTTCGCCCCCTTCGCCCATAGGTAAGTCCGGCCCTGTCATCAAGTACATCAAACATTGAAATTTTTCAACGATACCAATCAAAATTGCTACGTAAAATTGTCAACGCACCTTGGTTTGTTACTAACAGAACACTTCATAATAATCTTAGAATTTGAAAAGTCAAAGAAGAAATTACAAAATCTAGTGAAAAAAGATAATCAAATTGGAAAATCATTCAAAATCGTCTTATACAAAACAACTTTTGCAAAACTTATGACAGCTAGCCTGACCATACTACTGGAACGAATTACACGCGGTTGGTACCAAATGAAAGATATTTTCCTGTAGATGTGATGAATCCCTTTATAAATTAAAATAGGCTCAAAAATAAACACAAGAAACGAATTTAAAATTTTAAAAATAACTTGGGCCGTATGGGTTGCCATGTAGGTAACGAAATAACAACTAAATGTAAACAGAAAATAAAACCAAATAGAAGAAATTCCATTTACATGTCTTATTTATAGCATAGGGTAAATATAGATAAGTTGGAAAAATACATACTTTTGGTCAAGTTTCCGACCACAAGGCGAGCTCTCATCTTGCACTAAATTTATTGGACAATCACAACACCATTTACGACATTTAAACCTCCCATTCAGATTCGGCTGTGTTATCAAAATTATCTTTGTCAGCTAGTGTTGAGAGTGGTAAATCACTATACTTTTAACGTTGTATTATTGTTAATGTATTTGCTTATTTTTCTACTTTTGAAACAGACTGTAAATTAAATAAAGTTGAAACCCGATTAAGCTACAACCCATTTAATAGTATATTTCGTACCTAGGGCCGAAAATAAGGTTTTGCCGGCTCGAGATAGTTCGACTTCGTCTCGATCGAGAGCTGCAAAACCATTTCGGTCCGTGGTACGAACGCTATTTTGCACCACACTATACCCTATTGCCACTATTCACCTCTATAATAATGCACACTGATGGTTAGCACAACTACAACTTTAAGGTTATGTGAAGAAATAATTCGAGGCCTCAGCAAAAATAAAAATAAATTGTTGCTAGGCAACGGTGACAATAAAATAATTCTATGGATACTGATTGTGTATTTAATATGCATTCATGTTTTAAGTAAGTAAGCGGGCAGCTAATTTTGCGGCCCTAGGGACCAGCGACCACAGAATTAAAATTAAAATTTTAATTCTGTGGTCGCTGCTAGGGACCTGCTCGGTCCCCGAATAACGATGACAGCTAAAAAACCTAATAATTCTATAGAATAACAAGCTGTACCCGCTGGCTTTGCCCCGTTAAACTAATTAATTTTCAAGATTAGCTCGTTCGCATGGCTCAATCAAGTCCTGGTTGAAGTTCGTTCGCTACGCTCTCTCACCTTTAGGTTGGAGCTCGTTCGCTGAGCTCACTTGCCTTGGGGTTAACTCGCCTCCAGGTTGAAGTTCGTTCGAAACGCTCACTCAGCTTTTGGTTGCAAATTAGCTGTTGTCATAAATTGTTAAATTGACACAGCTGTTATGATTCATTAATTCCTTTTAAATATGAAAAATCATAAGGTTAAGATGGGAAACTCCAGAGCCACTGGGGCGGAGCCCGAATGCCCGATCATAATAAAAACTACTTAGTTTTCCTATTTAATGCCCAAAGAATCGGTGTATCGAATTTCAGCCTCCTAGGTAAATGGGAAGTGGGAGAATTAGTGATGATGCGTGAGTGAGAGTGAGTGTGTCAGTGAGGGCTTTGCCTTTTATAAGTATACATGAGTATACATAGCACATTCAACCAGCTGTTAGTTAAAACAAATTATATTGGACTAAAACAAATCGATGATTACAAAGAATACTTTAAAAAATAATTTGAACATCCTACTACTGTATTTTACTATGCACATTTAATTAAACTGCCATCCTCGTACCGAAGAATTAAATGTATCAATGGTCAGCATTACACATACATAGTATAAATAAGTCAACCATAAGTATGTATTTGAATTATCTTCCAAATGCTGAATTTGTGTCACAAATACTGAATGTTACAGCTGTTATGTTAAGCAAATTATAATGTACTAAAAGCTAGCTAGAAGCATTGACTTATTGGAGAAGGTTAGCATCGGCTGCTAGACTTTTTAAAAACTAAAACTTAATTTATAAAAAACTGGGACATTAATTTTAAATTATGGCTTTGAAATTATCTAGTTCTCAAAATGGTCTTTCTTTCAACACAAAACTAATGAAAATCCATCGACTGGTTGATTCAGAATCGTGAAAAAACCCCATTTACGTTATAATAATATATATGATAGTTTGGACAGGTTTCAACCCTTCCGTGGCGTAATACATTACACAGTTTATATGTAGACTACATTATAACTCATAAAATAGTTCTACAATTAAATGGATCTCCTTTTACAAACGTATATAATAACCAGAAATGTTCAGATCGTCCTTGCGTGTATTTTATGCCACAAATTTTGACGAAAGGCTTTTCATTACATAAACTATACCTATTTACAGTGTTGACCAAACAGTTGGCAAGAAGCATTAATAAATAAGCTATGTACCAAATATGATAATTTTAGCTCTATTCTAATTATGACAAAACACGAAGTAACTAAAAGCGAGTTTTGTTGGTGTAGTAAGCGTTGCAGGAGGTCTACTTTACACTGAATCGACGTTCACTTTTATTGCTTTTGATCTTCCGACACTTTTGACTCAGCGAAACTGAACTTGTATTTTACCGTATTTCGTTATATTAATCCTGCTGTTGCATTAGGTCAAATTCCCAATAAGTCAATTGCTTTAACATAGACTAAACTTTTAGCCCGGACTGTACTATTTGACTTTCTGGGATTTTTGATCTACAGACACTGCAAACATTGTAGTTTTTGACCTAGCGGCACAGGTATAAATTATTTGATCTTCCGGGACTGTTGACTTTCAGCAACATTCCCCTATGTTTCAGGTAGGTATGTCAAACGTGATAAGTTTTAGGGAAAATAAATTGTAAAAATGAGGAGCTTATGGGTGAAAATGAATTAAAACAAAATACAATTTACTTTTTTGCAATCTTTTATTCTCGAACATGTTAGAAAATATACATGTTACGAAACACGAGGAAAGGATCGGAATGAAAATACAACCAAGATCACCGTCACAACTAAGAACATTTTGAAAACTAAATACTCAAAAAATCAATATAGACACATTTTACAACATTATAATGTTAAGTTAACATCATAAAAAAGACTTATGTACAAAACAATGATAATATATCGATAACTTTATAAAAGCTAAGGACAAAATATTGTAGAGCACCAATATCATACCATATAAGATATATACAAGAGAAGTATTTATAAAACCATTTTGTATTTATTAATACAAAAAGCTGCACTATACATAAAAAGATCATCATAATTATTGCAAAACAGGCTTATTCCAGCCTGACTTTCGCACCTATCAGCGTTAAGTATAGACACTGATCAAATGTAGGTTAATACTACTTCGTTATCAACAAATACATTACTGAGAGGGAATAGAAACTTACATCGACAATAATTACATTAAAGATCACAAGACTTAAGTGGACTACCACTTCCTAAGGGTCAACATTGATCAATTTCAAAAATATTTAACTAATTCAGAATTTTCTCTACTTTTTTACGTATATAAAAATTTAAATACTGCCTCATGGTTCACCTAGCTTACATGTAAACATACAAATGTACACCAATGCCAATAACAACTTTCATTACAACTTGAAACAATTATTTTGTCATTAAAATGGTTTTTCTGTATTAAGAAATTATCCCTTCTTCAAAAGGAAGTTAAGGAAAATAAGCTAATCATAATTTATGTGTTTTTATTAATATAAATTTTAATTACCTAGTAAGTAAACAAATACACCAATGAAACTCAAGAAATGCGTATTTTAAGAATTTGCTAATATGTGAAAGAAAATTTGAATTAAATGTGCACCTCCTTTATCCGAACCTCAGGTCTTCCTAATCCATGTCCAGAGCCAGAATGATTTATTGTTTGATTTCCCCTCTTATCTATTATTAAAATTCAGTATTGATACAGTTGTGTTAAATGTTTTCAAAATTAAAGAAATGGAAGTAAACAATTCTTTTGTAAAGGATATTTTGTAACAGCATCAGTGGAGAAAACTAATTTTTTAAATACTGTGTACAGCATTTGCGCTAATTGGGTACCTAACAATTAAAACTAAAACAGCTGATTGTATTAGCTAACTAGGAATGATGTTACCCATAGACCAAAGATAGTGAGCGCGTCTAACCTAGCAGACAGCTATTTCCTCTTTTTCCTCCACCGGTGCAAGATTTATGCACCGGAGAAATTCTACGGTGCATAATACACCGGTGGCCTCTGATTGGTCAGTTTCTTGGACAACGACAACAGCATGCAGCTACGGCAAGCAAGATGGCGGGTCCAACGAATAATTTAATAGTTCATCAGTTTCATAGGTTATGTTGCGTAATGAGTGAATAATTTATTCTATGAGAATGTTATATAACGTATTAAGTGAATAATTTTCAAATAATTTATTCTGTGAGAACAAGTTTGTTTGGTTTAAAGATTATAAAGTAAATAAAAGGTGAATGTGTATATTATAATCCGATGTGTATCTTAAACCGGTGAATAACCGTTCTGGGATACCAAGACTCTTGCCCCGGGGCGGTACCGGTGAATAAATCACCGGTTAATCTGCACCGGTACATGTTCCCAGAGCGTGCCCATTGTTTGATACACAGTACTTAAAATAAGTGTTCCCCCCTTATTCCCCTTTTGACGGTAACATATATATAATTACTTAACTGTAGGTGACAGATAACCGAGGTGCTACTTTGGTATAACTTTGAATGAAAACTAGTGTAGAGTGCAACCTTAAAGGAATGTTCAATATAAAAATCTTAGATCTGAGCTATTGTGTGCACCAACTTACATAGCTGTTTAATATTTTTTGTCATACTGCAGCAAAAACAGCGGTTTTTAATACATACGTTGCAGGTCTAGAGTAGCTCTTTTAACCCCTAGGGAGTAAGAGCCTGTTTAGTCCCTAGGGAGTAAAGTCAGCTGTTGTAAACTGTTTTAAACTTTGTAAGCAATTGCATGTATCAAAATTATGTATAGATTGATTTAATCAGTAGCTAATTGTTGCATTTATGTCAATAGTTCAACATATCGATAGTATAACGTACAGTAACACAATCGTCATATACAAAATGATGGAATCACTTACTAAACAGCTGCTTGTTTGCATTAACAAAATTTAAAACAAGTTACAAGTTGTTTTGAGAGGTTATATTTACATGAAAAGTATTATAGTTTCCTAACTTTGTTTGTTAAAATGTTGCAATATGACAAAAAATATAGTTCATCACACGGACAAAAATTGTCTTTTCAACCCTCACTCATTTCTGACCTTGGATTCGCCGGCTTGAAACTTGAGCTCGGGTCGAAAAGAGTCACCTTAGGCCTAGTGATGTATATATATTATTTATAAATTAATAAATATATTATTTCGAACTTGGCTGTATAAAAAAAATTGAACATTTTTTCAATGAAAAGAATCACAGCATGATGCAATGAATACAAAAAGCTGTTCCAATAACTTCTGTGTGGTTACGAGGAAAAACATAAAGCCTCATAATATACTCAAAAGATGTTTAAGTATTTAAGAAATACAACTGTCCATTACTTAACAGTCTTATTATACTTATTGTGCTTAATAACCCCATTCATTACTATAAACTATCAAAAGCTTATGTTTACAGTAATATGACAGGAAACGTCTATAAATTAAATAAATTTAAAATAAATTATATATTAACTTTGTATATGGACAAATATTTCACAGCTAAATCTAAAACTTAGTATCATCTATCCTTAACTAAGTTACAAACCATTGCAAAACTTATTTCGCCTAAGTAACTGCAAATAAAAATCAAAACTGTGCAACAAAACAAAACTTAAGATTTAATCTTTACAGTGAACTATATTTTACGCAGTTTATTTAATACCAGCAAGTATTCACACATACACTCAAACACTCAATATACAAAAGTTGATTTTAATTTAAAATAATTCCATATTTTATTAATAGTGTCGTCATTTATTACAGAATTTAAACGGACAAAATTAAATAATCGATAAACTGATCAAAATATGCATTAGGTATTGGCTATAAAACATAGGGAAATATCCATCCCAATTGATTGAAATTATTATTTATTAAATTTAAAGAAGCCCAACCAAATCTATGTTTTGCCATAAAAGAACAAGTGGAATCAAAAACACCTTAAAACACTCACTAGTGAAAATAATAAAATAACTTCTTGATTAGCTATTGTTAATGAAAGAATTGTAATATAAAAGCCAAACGCATTCATATTTTTAATCTCAAGAAAATGAAAAAAATCAATTACCAAAGAAAAAAATTACGTTAAAGCAATTAAGAAAAATATAGAATGAAGTAACTCTAAAAGAACTGTCTATCTGTGTAGGCTACTTAACCATTCAAAGCATGCAATTTTTGCATTAAATTATTTGTTTCTTACAAAAATTAAACTATTTATACACAGAATTAATGAATTATTGAAAACCAACAAAATAAATGCACACACAGTAAAATTTTAGGCCAAGATACAGGACATGAAACGAGTAAAGCTAATGGAGAAAAGGTGTACACATAACATGTGCGTTGCCGACAACAGAACACCAAGGAACAAAATTAAAAGCACAACAAATTTAAACACACAATAACTGCAGAATGTATTAAGTAGTTTCGAGTCCCATCTAACATTCATGTAGTAAACAAAACACCTCTCACAATAAAAGTTGGAAAAGTAACAGATCAAAACCAGTGGCAGACTGAACGCACCAAGTTGTTACATTGGCTAGTTTACTATTCATTGAGCTACTGCCGGAATTAAGTCATACAATCTTTGAGCCCTGAGAAAAGTCAGTAACTTTTTGATGATTCGAAACTGGACCCAGCTGTTTTTGATAATTGGGCTCTAAAAATGATCCTGGATAAAGAAACAGCTGATCTTAGTCAGTAATAAAGCTACAGAGATCTCACTCCATTCTACACTCATATTTGGGTTCAAATACCTAGGTTGTGTTCCCCATCTCAACTAAATCATAATAGTTAATCTACAAAACATCCAAATTTACTAAGCATGGAGACAGTGTTGAGTTTCAAATATAAAAAATTGCACACTGATTGCACTTATATCTGTCTGTATTTAAAACTATGAGTGAAGCTAAGTTAAAATATTACATTTCAAAAAGTATCAAACAAGAAAATGCATTAAATTATTTTATTTCTACAATTTTTCAATGGCCTTTTACATGTTGAAGATTATTTTCAAAACTTTGTTAGTTCAATCATAAGAAAAGTGTGTAGCTTTTTGATAGTTCAAAACTGGACCCAGCTGCCCTTGATCATTGGGCTTTTAATAAATGGCCTGGCTAAAATACAGCTTATCAGCCTGTAATTTATCATAGGCATCTTATCATTCATCTTATATGGTGAAGATCGTCAATTGAAATTCCCTACTCTTTCCCACACCTACTACTACAAGTTTTAAATAATACTCGCTAAAGTGATCTTAGCAAACCCCAATAACTGATCAAACATGAACTTTGTGGGAGATAAATTAGTTGGACCATGAACAGAAATATATCGAGCTTGCAGCAGAAGTAAACTTACACCCCAATTTCATTCTAATCTAGCCACTTGTAGCAAATTTGACATATTTTCCAAACTCCCTGCTATATCTTTCCACCTACAACAGGCTATAGCAACAACACTGTGCAACTAATTCCTCCAGCATTCTAATACTGAATGGAGATTCTCTCAACTCATCTTAGAAAAAATAAAATCCTGAGAACGTGATATTCTCCAGGTCAAACCGTTTCAATCTGCCACTGTTCCATCTGCACGTATTGCTTAGCGAACGGAAGGCGTGGAGGAGGATCACGTTTTCCAGTTGTTGAGAGAGTGGGGGTGGGAACGTGAGGAAGTAGGGGAGGGGATCATGTCCAGCAGGTATTGCCGCTGAATGTCGGCTGCCTGTCTCTGTAGCTCTACCAGGTTGGCCGCTGCGGCTGCCACTGGACCTTTGCCCCCGGCCGCCTGAGCCATGGCCAGCTGAAAAAACATGTGGGACATTAATGACTAGAACAGTTGACGCTCGTTAATCCACTTCATGGTAAAGCAAATAAAAATTAAGAATGCAAGCTATATTTTTCAGCATGAATGGATTGTATTTAGTCCCTAGACACTAATCTTTCTCAAGTAAAAGCTAGCTAACCCCAATCATGTTCCAAAACTGTTCCTAAAACACTTGTCTTTCCTTTGAAATCAAATTTGTCAGGGGAATAAAACCATTGACTTTCCTATTGTTACATTTGAAGCATTTACTTTGAATAGAACAAAAGAAGACTTAGTAGTAGAAAAAAATAAAATACTAACCTTGTTTTTATGTGTTTTATGTTTCTGACGTTTCGCTAGTTCATTAGTTTTTTTTTCTTTATAGATTGTTAAATTTGTGCTTTTCTGTTTGTTTAATAAGACAAGAAAACCAATGGTTTGTTAAAGGATTGTATTGTTAAGATAAAATAGTTGTGAAATTGATGATATACACAGAGATGTAAGGAACAGAGGATGTACACTAAAGTGGTGTCTAGCACTAGTGGTGTTTGTCTAGGGCAAAGTCCAACACTGCCCCCCTCGCTCTCATATTCGACAACACTCACAGTGGAGGAGGACCCTGTGCCCTGTGCGATAGTAATTTCCACACAGTGCTCACTGTTTGGGATCTTTGCTTGTCACAAGTACATTTCCGGAACATACCAGACATGAAAGCTCACGGTTGTCCTATTGACGTGTTTACTCTGTACCTTTCTTCTCTGAGTAAAATATGAAACAAACCGGTGAACAAAACTAACTGAGGAGACTGTTGAGTATACCTGATAGGGATACAAGAGTGGTGAGAATGGCAGCATGTGAGCAGGCAAGGGCTGGTGTGGAGGCAGTCCACGCATCAGTTGCTGGTGCAGTGCCTGGGCAGCGGCCGCGTGGTGACTGTTGAACTTGCTGCTCTCTGCCGCCAGCTTGGCCAGGGGATGTTCCCTGGCGGAGGGAGGTGTGACAGGTGCGGGGGGTGTGGGGGCAGGTCTAGGCGCTGGGGTGGACGCCTTGGGCTGTGGCGGAGGAGGCAGAGCAGGCTCTGGTGTAGGCTGCGGCGAGCCCTGCGCCAGTCTAGACAAACAGTCCAAGGTTAAAACAAACTCAACTGACCTCTAAGAGAAATCCATCTTAGCTATCTTTGACTATGGATAGACGTGCATTCCATTCTACATTCCCTATGCAGCTCAGGTATTATTGGCGACTAGTGAGTCATTCTATTGACATTACTGGAAACATCATGTTTGTTTAAATTGTCCTTGTGGTCAGTAGACACAGTAAACATGAAATGGAGTTTAGGGTGTACATGCCATCGGAGTAATAATAACAATACCTCTGCTCTATCTCCTGTTCCTGCTGTAGAGCCTTCACAAACGCAGTCTTGAGACGGTTGGTGTGCTCAGCTTTCAAAGCCTTCTTCACATTCGTGGTGACACACTGTTCACATATCACCTTCGGCTCTTTGCCTGTAACGTAATTCATACTAATCAAACAAAGTAAACTTATTATACTTATTGACTTATTATAATAACTTACCAAAGATGTGAGGTTTTGTTTGACAGTTTAATTAAATATTGAAGGTACTGTAACATGAAATTACATTGCATCAATTATATTGTACATAGGTACAGTGGTTACTTCACTAATTGCAACTGGCAATTAATGGGAGGATAAAACACAGAACTCATCACACACACACACACACTGCACACTCGCTCACAAAAAAAGGTCTGTATGGGGGAAATTTGCTTAGAAGGTACAGCTGGTCCTTAACATGAGAGTAAGAGAGTCTACTTCAGTATACAAAAGTTAATCGTAAAATGTAAATACATTCGAACCTCTTAAGTACGAACCTCGGTAAAACAAATTCCTCGATGAGACAATTTTTTAAAAATCCCCTTAGAACTTTCATAAAGGTCAATGCTAAAAACACCTCTATACAATTAGGTTGAAAACCTCTATAAGACAAATTTGTTTGTGACATGGACTAGGACTGATTAACCTCTATACAGCGAATATTTTTAGCACAAAACCTCTATGAATGCTGTTGGAAATATCGTCTAAAATAACAAGTCGTCTTGTGGATCAAAAATTAAGTTAATTTAATAGTAAAACTGATAGAATGAAAAACTTAGATTTGTGTATACATCTTACTTCATCAAAATATAACAAACAACTAAACTCTGTTGCCAAGGAAACATCATATGTTCTTTTCTAACATAACTATTATGGACATTATAATATGAATAAATTACATCTTTAACACACCCCCGTAATGTCCATAATACATTTTAGAAAAATAAGTTTTAGTTAAGAGGTCACCATCCCAATGAAAGTTTTCATTTTAACATGTTTCAATGATGATAAGCCCTTTGTTAAAATATCAGCGGTTTGTTCTTCTGTTGGAATGTATCTGACAGTGATCTGTTTCCCAGAGACCAACTGTTGAACATAATGGTATCTCGTCTCAATATGTTTAGAGCGATCGTGGAACATTGGATTGTTCATAAGTTTAATCACACTTTGATTGTCCACATGTAGTATAGGAATAGACTTTTCTTCAATTGCGCCAATCTCTTTCACAAGACGAAGGGATTTACAGGTCTCGCTAGCGGCAACATATTCTGCTTCCATTGAAGATTGGGAAACACACCGTTGAAGCTTACTCTTCCAAATAGTCTCATCAAGATTGCCATTCAAAAATGCTGTTTTAACATCAAACTGTTTGATAGCTAGATTGTACTGAACTGAATAGCCTAACATAGTTCGCATCGTCTTAAACCGAGCTACAGGGCTGAAAGTGTCACCATAATCAATACCAGGACGCTGAGTAAATCCTTTTGCGACCAAACGCGCCTTGTAACGAATGATCTCGTTCTCAGAATTTGTTTTCAGTGCAAATACCCAGCGATTATCGATGACTTTTCTTCCTTTTGGTTGATCAACCAAATCATAAGTTTTATTTTTTATTAATGAATTTATTTCTTCATCCATAGCGGATTTCCAATCGACGACATGCTCAGATCTAATTGCTTCATCATAATTTTCCGGTACTTCGTTTGTAAGTATTGCAGAAGCTAAAAGCTCATTTTTATCTCTGTCACTGACACACATGACAGAATCATCTCTATATCTCATAGGTATTTTTATTCCATCACGTTTTCTCAGGTTATAAGTCTCCTCTTGTAATATATCACCTGGAATAGCGATATCATCACTAGGACACAACATGTCTTGCTCATCAGTATCATTGGTTCCTGGATACACAATATCTTGCTCTTCTTCATGGAATATATTGTCCCGATTACTGTCAACAAGCTGATTTCTGGTCTCATCATTTAGAATTGATTGCCTACTGTCAAGGGGATCATGCTCGATATCATTGCTACTCTCTTCAATGTTAAAGTAGTGTTTATCATCGTTATTGTTTATTTTCTTCAAAATAAAACATGACTCTTTTGGTGGAATGACCTTAACAACCATATTATACAATTGATTAGCTGTATTAAATATAGCCAAAGCAATGATTGTTCCATTTTGAGAAAACACCCATGACTTACCATTGTTTTTCACAGTCTGGTGAATGCCTTTTTCACCTGCTTTCCTCACAGAGAATAAGTTACAAGCAACATCAGGACAGTACCAAACATCATCGAAATACCTGTAAGTCCACTGTTTACCATCAAAAACCATAACGTCTATTTTTCCTGACCCCAAGGCCTGAATATGAACACCTTGGCGAGCACTGTCCATCTTTTTAGGAGTATCAAATGGTTTGTAAGTGGCGAACCAGTCCCTGCGGTTTGTCACATGGTGAGAAGCACCACTGTCAACAAGCCAGTTGTCACATTCACTGAAAAATGACTTATCAATTAGGCCTACCTCTAGATTTGATCGAGTCATCATTGCAGCATTTTGTATCTCACGGGTACATTCATTTGATTTATGTCCTTTTGTGAGACACTTAAAACAAATTAGACCTGTTCGACAGTTTTTAGATAGATGACCATTTTTGCCACATGAAAAACATTTTATCGCTCCTAATTTTTGCAAGTCTCCCTTTTTGGAATTTTTGGCTCCCATATATTTTGGCTGTTTAGAACTTACTTTTATTTTGGAAACCATGGCTACTGCTACATCCATCTCGTCTCTGTCCTTTAGACGTAATTCAAAGTTGAGACATTTCTTCTGTAGAATGTCCCATGTCTTCACCTCCCTTGGTGAGTCGTGCCAAGTCACATATATGTGATCATATTCCTTTGGTAGAGTTTGAAGGAGTCGAGCACACAAATCGTCTTCATTAATAGGCTTACCGTATATTGTTAATTGGTTTTGGATTTCGTCAAACTTTTCCAGATGACCATTCATTCCAAGGGTAGGTTCCCAAGAAATGTTATGGAACTTATTTCTCAATATGTCAATATTTTCAGTTGACTTGACATCATAAATGTGGACAAGTTTCTCCCACATCTCTTTTCCTGTAGAGCAATTGCTTACTCTAAGTAGAGGATTCGTCTCAAGGGATAAAACAATATATTTTCTGGCTTTTGCATCATTTTTTGACCAATTTACCAATTTTTCGTCATAATTTGGTGTACCTGCTGTTGGTTTTCCGAATTCTCCACTAACAATTCCATAAACTCCTTCACATTCTAAGATTACCTTCATGACTATTTTCCATGTTGTGAAATTCTCAGTCCCTCTTAATTTTTCAATCTGTTTTTCATTACTCATCATTCACTATTCTATTAACTTCTTCTCAATTAATTTAACCACTCTGTTCTGCTACCATGTTGGAAATATCGTCTAAAATAACAAGTCGTCTTGTGGATCAAAAATTAAGTTAATTTAATAGTAAAACTGATAGAATGAAAAACTTAGATTTGTGTATACATCTTACTTCATCAAAATATAACAAACAACTAAACTCTGTTGCCAAGGAAACATCATATGTTCTTTTCTAACATAACTATTATGGACATTATAATATGAATAAATTACATCTTTAACAAATGCGACCTCTATAACACAAATTTCTCATTAACAACCTCCATGGTACCTAGTTTTCAAAACTAACAGAAGCTTGTCTCAACATGAATCCCCCATCCATCCCTCTTCCATAGTCATTGTTTGGCACGTGTGTGTGCAGTGGAGAAACTTCTATAATACGAATAACAGCAGTATTAAACCTCCCTCTTCATTAAGAATACCTCGATAATAAAAAATTTTACCCTACCCCTTGAAATTCATCTAATAAAGGTTCGACTATTTGGTAAAAAATACTATGAAGTATTCAATCGGGACACCACTAGCACTGACCTTTAGACGGATTCTTCTCCCACTTCCAGACGGGAGTGAAGCTGGTGCCACACTGGGAACACTTGAACGGCTCCGGTGGTGGTGGCGACTTGTTGTCCTTGGTGATAAAGTCCACCACATACTCCAGCCCCAACAGGTAGATGAACTCCGTGTTGCTGGGGTTAGGGATGAAGTGCATCTCTGGTGGTGGTGGCTTGGGTGGTGGAATCTGCAACACAACCAGAATAATGACATTATTGAAGTCAAGAAGTCAAAGTAGACCAACCTATTGAACCTCAGACAGCCTCGTACTCCTAGAGCCTCCAATGGATATTCTACTGGAAGATAACCCAAGTTAATAATAATTGATCATCAAAGCCATGAAAGAGGAAATTATACATGTCATAACTTGAATAAAGAGGGGTGTTGGTTGTGATCCGACCTATGTCCTGATGACATGGCGAGTGCAGCGTTATTTAGTCTAATGTCAAATTTTATAATCGTTAATGATAACAAAGAATGTAAAAAAACAAGTTGAAACAACGGTATTGATTTCAAAATCACTAAAAACAGATAACTGACAATTCTTCAATATCACTGGTGTTAAAATTGTTTAAGAATCAAGAATACGCTCACCCCTATTCTCAAGGTTCCACCCCAAAATTAGCAGTTTTTAGGTTTTCATGGTTGAGTGGCTACTCTGAAAATACACTAGCAGACCAAAAGTACACACTGTAGATACACAAAACACACTTACCTGCAGCAGTGTTTTCTCCAGCTGTTTACGCAGAGCCAGTTTGGCTGCGGCTTGTCTCTGCGCAGGAGTCTGCGCATCCTCAATCCTCTGACGGTCCTGTACACAGAAGATTTGCTCTACAACCACTGCAGTGTAAGAGTAAGCAGCATAAAAGGCTTCCCATACATCCCACATAGTTACACTGTAGAACCTCCTCTTATTTGTTGTACAGCTCATTGATCATTTTCCCACTTGTTTGTCATTTAAGCACAACCAGCTGTGTGTACCTGAGTAATTATACCAATTTGTGTGTCAGAGTTAAACACGTTTTCTAATGGGTATTAGATTGAAATATTGTAAAAGTGCTGTGAAAAAAGCTTGAACGGATTGTTACACTTGAGAAAAATTAGATATTAGTTTTTAAATGTTACATGAATTTACATGCTTTTTGTCAATTGTGTTGATATAAATTAGGTAGACAATATGGTAAGACTCATGAAGTATAACTTAACCATTAAATATCCATGCTATTTCCAATTTTTACAAATCATGAATAAAAAAATATTAAACTTTAATTTAGGACAGTACAAAACCCAAAGTTTAATTCAATAAGCATGAGCTTGGCATGTAGGGCCTAAGCATGTAACCTAAGAAATAATACTCTAGAATGCATGGCTTGGACTTGTAAGAATGCGAGAAAATTCTTAGGAAAAAGGAGATAATGGTGATGTAGGGAAGGAGATCAAAAGGGAGAAGGTGGAGGGAAGAGGTGAAGAGGAATAAGGAAAAGAGATGGCAGATGGTAATAGAAAAACTGTGGATGGATAGGACAAGATGGAGATGCCCAGACCCAGGAAAAACTTGGGCATATTAGGGGTGAGCATCGATAACAGATGTTTTTGAAACATTGATGGTAGGTTACTGAGATGTTTTTAGCAAACTATCAAAATATCAATGTTAGTTTTAACAAGTTGAATATTTGTATATTTATTATTATTGAGAGGCTGGTGAAATATAGTCAAAAAATAATTCAAACTGGAACTAGACTAGACTTTGAGTAGAGTCATATAACTAACTATCTACCCTGTTAAAACGCTTGTTCTAAATGCTGCCCAAAAACAATTCATTTGTAAACAATTTCAGCGGCAGCCCCCCTGCTCTAGCATAATCAATAAATACTAATCTTGCATAATGCAAACGAAAGAAAAACTGCCAATCTAGACTATCTAACTAGTATCTAGATTAATTAACTGACGAAGAAAGCAAAGAAAAATGTCAACAATTCATGTTTTGGCCCTGTTTTCACGATGCTGTTATCAGTACATCGTTGCTCATCACTAGCATGTATGTTAAAGGAGGGTGGCCCTAAGAAATACCTGTTCTGATAGTTGAGAGAGTTGCATTCCAACTCCCAACTTGACATCCACCAGACTTGACAGCTTGTAACAGACAAACACCCTCTCAACTAGTCTCACCATCATACCAACCAACATTTCAAAGCATCTCATTGGTTTTATACTTCAATTTACAGGTGTATAATAGAATTTTTACAAAATACCAGTTTAACAGGTTAAGTATAGGGAAAAATTGACATAAGTTCCTTTTTAAATCCCATTCACACATTTGAAGTCCTACTTGTACAGTTTTTCACACTATGAGAGTTAATGGAACAAAAACATGATTCAGTTTACAATACGCCACGCTGAGTTTTGCAAAGTTCATATATAAGAATGAAAATTGCATTTAACAGCAGTAAACTCTCAGTGGCTGACATGAAATAAAATCACTGTCTCACTGTCACATAAGATTGCGATGTCAATATATTCTATCTCAATCCTTCAATTTACTAACATAGTTAAACTAGAGGTGTGCGTGCGGATAAATTTTTTTGGCAAACTTTTACCATCACAATCACAGGACGGTCTGTGAAGAATGTGTGATCGTAGGACATGTATCAAAGTGTTGAAAAACATATTTTATTATATGCCTATAGGTCTAAAACATTTCTTTAAAATAATAAGTTTTGTGTTTAATTTCAAATCAAAATTTTAATATGATAAGTTTATTATTATTGGAATTATTTGTTTATTATTTGGATATTTATTTGCTTTTCTTAATGACTACACTACCATAAAATGTTGCCCTTTGAAGAAAATAATAAAGTTAGGTAAAATTGTTAATTCACGTCCTTGTTATTATCCTTTTTGTACATTATTTAAATCATACATCATCAACTCTAAATCATACTTCAACTTGAATTTAAACATATTCACTACCAGCCGACACACAAGTATGTATGTAGAGTGTCCTGACACCCAGTAGTGAATGTGTTGAATTACGTAAAATTCATTACCACAAAGCTCAAGGCTCAGGATTAAACAATCGTCACACCTCTAGTAAAACAATCGTCTGGCAAATGTTTGTACCTGCTGAGCCGCTGGGGAGGGGGCGGGGGAGTGGCGAGAGTCCTTGGTCCTGTCAGCTGTGTACAAACTGAGTCCTTGCGGCACTCCTCTACCTGCCAACACACTGCTGCTGCTTCCTGCAACACAACAGTCAATCAGCTGACAAAATGTTTCACATTCCAACATCTCCAAGTGTTATAAGCTCATTAACATTTCATTTGTAAATAAACATGATTTAATAAGTTGTTTGAAGGGTCAAATATAATTTTAAAAATACAAAATGTGTATTGGTGTAGTATTACAATTTTAAAACAAAATCTCAGACTTTCATTCGTCAAGTTTAACTGGATGGTTGGATAGGGAATCAACTGGTTTAGTTAGCATAGCATGGGGGTTGTATTTTTTGTAGGTTCAGGTTCTAATTTGTCAATCACAAATTACTTTTAGATATGAAAATGCACTGACTAAGTGGTTAGAGCCCATCTCAAGTAATAAGACTAAGAGATACATTTTTAGGCAAGGGGAACTATCTCTGATTGTAATAAAGATCTCTCTAAAAACCATACAACAGCTATAAAAATTTCAATTCAAACATTTATTTTCCACACAAAAAACTAGTAAAAGGCCAATTGAATGGATATTTAAAGGTTTAAAGATTTGAAAAGATATTTAAAGATCATTAAGAGTAGAAAGGTAATAATGAAGAGACAAGAAGAAGGCAGCTTAAGGCGGAGAGTAGGAAAAGCAAGACGAGAATGTTTTGGACGTATAAGAAGAATGTGAGAAGAATTCTTAGGAAAATGGAGCTGATAACAGGGGAAAGGAGACCAAGGGAATGAAGAAGAATGTGGATAGACGAGGAAAGAAAAAGGAGTAAAGTGGGGCACTAGGTAGCAAATGGGGAAGGAAAGGAAGTAGAGGTATAAGAGAAGACGGAGAGGCCTTAGTAGTCAGATCTGGAACTAACCAGAACGGAAGATGACTTAAAAAAATTAACTAGATAATTTACAACAATACAGACTACTCACCCCGTTGCAAAGTAGGGGTGGTGGGGTGCATGTTGGGAGGCATGCCTGGCGCCAGTGACTTGGACATCATGCCCATGGGAGGCGGCGCATGGATGTTGGGAGCACCTCGCGATGACGGCGCAGGTTGCTGGCAAAAAGAATTATTATGAAATTTCAAATAACAAATTAGTTTATAGTCATGTTAGTGTGGTGTGTTTACAACAGGGTCCTGTTGTGGGTGCCAGAACCCGAGAGACCCGAATCATGAACTGGACGGAACTATCATTAAAATTCATCAGCTGAAGGTAGGCCTATTAACTTACCCCACGTAGGAGATGAGGCACAGCACTGGGTGGTTTGCTGTGACTGTTGCGTACTAGCGGTGGTGGCGGGGGAGCAGCACTAGAAGGTTTGCTAGGCCCCGTTGTCACAGTGGGGGCAGACACCCCAGTCACCCCCCCACTGGTTGTCCCCGTGGTAGGCGGCACCACAGCTATGTTCTCCTTCATCTGCTGTGACTGTGCAGAACAATCAAATATAACACGATAGGATTTGGAAGGTTCAAACACCAAAGATCATTACAAAAATGTAAATCAACAAAAAATTCTAATTAAATAAGTTTGGTATTTAAAGGGCTTGAAAGTGGGAAAGTACACATTCAATTTGATAATTGTAGACTAGTGGATGAGTATTTGGTAAATTTAAAAGTAAATCATGCCCACAAATTTTTTTAAACAAGATTAAAAAATTCTAGGTTGCTTTGGCTTGGAAGACGACATTTCTGCTTAATTTAACTGGCGTAAACAATGCCTTAACTTACAAGCAAATTTAGAAGATTTAAAATGTCAACAGTGATTGTAGAATGTGTTTGAGATTGAGTGTTAACTGATGGGCAGTGCTACACAGAACAGGGGTTGTTGTGATTCCAGAGCAGACCAGGAAGCGCCCGTCCAATATACTAACACCTCTGAGTAAATTTACAGTTTGTTATGGAAGTTGATCAAAATAGTACGTAAGCAGATACCTGTCGCAACTTTTTCAGCAACACCAGTTTCATCTCCTCGTTTCGTAATTCCTCGCGAAGCCGCCTCACTAGACGTTCACGCTCCAACACTTCCGAAGGGCTCAGTTCCTGCAGACGACAGGATCAATACATAAGAGCAAATAGTTAACATTGCAAAGTTGTTGTCTTTTTAAAATCTAAGTTGATTTTTTTACGTTTTTGCTTGTGAAGAGAAATATTTTTCTTGTTTTTACCATGTAACAATAAAGGAAAGAAAAAGTCTTAATTTTTGTGACCAAAATTTTTGTGGGAACACCTTAAATTAAAACTTTTCAGTCCACCACATTTTGTAATACGGTGGCTGTAAAACATTAACTTGATAAAAGTCTAAACTAACATCTTAAACACAAACCTTGATCGGAGGTAGAGGAGGCATCTCCCCGTCATCACTATCACTATCCATACTGCCGTTGCTGAACCCGTTGAGCCTCGGCTCATCATCAGTCACCACAACCACGTCAGGGGACTCTGCGTAGCTGCGCAGCTCTGTGCGGGGCCGCAGACTCCTGCGTGCTGACATGTTGGTGGGCCGAGGGGACGGCTGGGATGCAGCTGGACTGCTGTCTGTTCTGCGATTACTGCAGACAAAGTTAATTAGGCTAAATCGTTTTTGGTTTAGGTATAGTCATGACAAAATTTAAATCACTAATATCTCTAGTAAATTTTAGAGCTTTGATACTACGTAATAATTTGTGTAAGTTAGGCCTAAAATATAATTTTTTAATGTAGTAATTATTTAATATATTCAATTATATCTCAAGAACCCGTCGAGGGAGGGGAAACCCGAGGGAGGGGTGAGTTACCTCGTTTGACACCTAGAAGCATTGGTCCACCCAAGTCGAATGAAATATCAAGTGTTGGGGTGTTTAGGTTGTTTTAAGCATGTTGTTGTAAATCTGACAAAAGGGCTGCTTAAATATCATTATCAAGGCATTGGCTTTCTTATTGAGGGTTTGAAGTGATTCATATCTTTATTTACATTAGTACTCATATACCAAATCACTGTGAAGAGACTTAAGAAACACATTTTAAAAATCTATATAATTAAACTATAAATTATGTAATAGAGAAGAGCTAAACAAAGATCTACAGGGTTCCACTTTGGTTCAAGGGGACCCAAGACAGATGTTTCAACCCAAAACTCAAATATTTTGATCAAAACAATCTACTTTCCACATAGAAAGTAAAAAAAAAAAATTATCCAAACATAACAGTTCTTCGGTCTGTTTATAATTACACCCGCAAAAATATTTCAAATAATAAGTAAAGAAACCCATCTTCAAAGATAAAAAATCAATACTCACTTGACACTGAGGTCTACTACGGAGGCATCTTCGTCTACCTCCATCCGTTCCATCTTTTCACTGGAATCAACAACATTCATTGTACAGTAGGCCTCAACAAAGTCAAATATTCAATTAGAAAAGTTAAATTCATAAGGTCTCCACCGAGCTTTCTACGATAAGCAAACAGGTTAATATCTGAGGCAAATACAAGGTTCTTACTTAACCCTGGAATTGTTGGTAGATTCTCTAAAATGCCAGTGCATTTTGCATAGTTAATTTATAAATAAATGCAAAATATTATTTATGCAGCTTTATATTATTGATGCGACTTTTTCTTAGTTTAATGACTCATCCGCTGACCAGAAATTTCAAGCTTAAAGTAAAGAGGATAATAGAAGACTTTGTAAACCCCTCATTACAAAATATGTTCTCTCTAAGAAAAAAAACTGTTACATTAATTGATCCATACGTAAATGGAAAGTCTAGCCTTAATTAGGTATTAAAAGCCTGGTTATTTAATTATTACTTTTATGTGAACAGACCAAGATGAAATAACTGACATAACCTATGCCTTAGCTAAGTAAATATTTTTTTTTTATCTATTATCTATCTATCTATATATTAATAGGCAAGCATGTTTCTTTAAAACCTTTTTTCTCAGCTCGTGTGCATCGCAGGGGAAATCTACGCATACTGTTGGAAAGATATTTTCCTGTAGATGTGCAGAATGCTTTTAAAAATTAAAATAGGCTAACAAATAAGAACAAAAAATGAATTTGAAAACTTCAAAAAATTAACATGGACCATATGGGTTGCCATGATGGTGACGAAATAACAACAAAATGTAAACAGAAAATCAAAACAAATGGAAGAAATTCCAATCACATGTTTTATTTACAGTGTGGGGAGAAAATAGTGAAGTCTGTACATTAATTATTTTTGGTCGAGTTTCGACCACAGGACGACCACTAGTACTTATTTAATACGCAAGCAGGTTTTTTGTGACAATTACTCCTCCGAAACTACTGAACCGATTGACATGTTTTTGGTGTCATTGGAAAGAGGGTAACGTGAATTTGTGCAGGAAACTTTCTTTTTAGGGAAATAATTAGAGAGTGAGGCCCTGGAGCCCTTTAAAGTTTCGTATTTCTCCATAAGATTAACATGGGAAACAAACATTGTTATGAAACTCCAGCTGTTGTCAGAAATCAAAAGTGAGAAGAAGAGCATATGTTAATTGTAAACAGTCAATAAGTTTGCTGATTTAACAGTTTGCTATACAAACTTGCTGACTTGGTTGAAATTAGTTTTAAAATAACGCCTGCAATACTTAGCAATTGCTCGAATTCGAGCAACAGGGACACTAGTTTATTCATAATTTGCCTCCAGGATTGATTAAATGGCAAAAATAATAGGTTACTAACTTGTCGTCATCAATCCTATAAGTTATTTGTCGTAGCAATAGAGGAATTGAAAATGGGGTTTTAACACCAAAACTAAGTTAGTCATCCACGACAAATATAGGATTGATGACGACAGGTAAGTAACCTATTATTTTAAAGCCATAGATGGTGTATGTAGCTGGGGTGTTTCCTTCAGTATCTAAAAGATAGTTATCAATGAACAGACCAAGATAACTAAACTACACTAGAAGACTGTAACATCATGGTTCAAACTCCAGCACTATCAATTTTATGGTTCAGAAGTTATTGTAATTTTGGAGATTTCCCCGATAAAACCCCATAGTTACTTCCGCAGCTTACCCAATTGTTATTATAGAAGCAGAGGGATGTTCAATTTTATTGTAAAGGAAATGGGAGAAATTATGTATCAGTTTGCTGATTTCCAGTATACTTAATACAATAAGGGTTTTCTCTGTAACATCTGGTTTTCAGATGTCCTACTTAACCAATTTTCACAATTGAGGTGTCAAAGCTTATGAGCTAGCGGAGTGACAAAGGGTAACGAAAAAGGTAATTTTTTAAGGGCTTCGCCTCCCCTTGCGTTTTAACTATCAAATTATACAACTATTTCTATAGTTCACTATCAAAGATTGCTGGCCAACTTTCTTTCCAAAGTTTTGTATAGCCTATGTATTATTGCAATCTAACAAAAAGGTCCTTCAGTTGAAGCAGGGTTGGTACTAAATTTGGTAAATAAAATTCCCTGACTTTTCCAGACTGATATTATACTTTTTCCAGGTATACTGTAAGTTGATATCAACTAATCAAAATCAAGAAATATTAGAAAAAATGTAAATATTTAACTTCACTCCCAAATACAAAACTTGTTTCAAACTATATACATATTGATTCCTCCCCCTTACTGATAACTAACTATCAATATAAAAATGTGCATCAGTGATTATGTAGTTCTTTTTGCAATAAGTCATCACCCTGACAAAGACCTGTTTAGAGCAAAACGTAGCATATCTGTAAAAAGGTAGTCTTTCAGGAGAAATTCCAGATTTTTTTCATAATTCCCTGACTTTTCCAGGTTTTCCCTGACCGTACCAACCCTGTGAAGGTTAAACCATAGTAAAATTTTGAACAAGAGACAAAACAGTTAATGAAAATCAATTTAAATGGGCTACTTTTTTAGTTGTAAACTGGTTGAGTTAGGTAAATCACAATTTTTACAGTGTAGGCTAAGATCTAAAATCAACAAATGGAATTAATTTTGATAAACCCTCTCCTAAGGGTACGACCTTCAATTAAAAGGCTCTATTTAATCAAATTTAAATATTGAAAATGCATCAGCTCTTGAATTTGTTTTTACTTAGCCTATAAGTTATAAGCTAGTTTGTTTGTTTACTTTTCCCTAAGTTAATCTTTTGATTCTCAATATAGATGTTTACATTATGATAATGTTATTAGTTTTGACTCTGCATACAAACTTTAATGCTTAAATACACAAGAGATATTAATTGAAATTTTGAATTAAAGTAAGATTGATATTTGCCTGAATAATTTGCATGGCAAGTGTGAGTAACTGTTTTTTTATAGTAGATTTAAAGACCCAAGTTATTATTATAATTATTAGTCTGTTATTTTCCTAATAATCTTTTAGTGAACAGAAAAGGCTAAAACTACGCTTAGAAGACTGTATCAGAGCAATTTTAATTTTTAAAAACCATCATTCCTCCCCATAATCAACAAGAGATACATCTTCCTTATTTCCTCTGTGTGAATAACACACTTGTTCAAACATTTGTTCACAGATAAGAGACTTGTTATCTCTGTATCTGTACGGAACTATATTATATTGCTCAAGCAACCTTTCAGTCCAAGCCGAACACGAGATTAATAAAACTTCCCAATTTACAACACTGATGTGGCAACCAATCTCTTTTAAGTTGTTCCAACCCAAGATGTTTGTTACAGCTAATTATAATTCCAATTTTAGTAAATCTAAAGACTAATATTTTAACAAAATATTTTGACATAGTGGATTGGACCAATTATTTGCATTGGATTAAATCTACATCTAAAAAAAGCCTCTCTCCAAAATGTGGATGGATTAAAGGCAACACTGGACTTGTAAATCGAGTAAATAAATAAACATGTAGCCTATGCTAGAAGCTTTTGAAAGGCTGTTACCTTGAATTTCTATGCTATTTTGTACATTGAGTAAATTACATTATTGCATTTTGTATGCCTTGTTTTTACTGAGTTGGGTTAGGGGATACTGTTTCTCATATTTCAATTTTATTTTTTATTCAATAATCTTTTCTGTTTTAGTATGTAAAATACTAGTAAGTAGTATGTATAGTTGTGTATATATTTTTATACTGGAAATCAGTTTATTTTATGAATAATTGTACGGTGTGATTCACAGACTCTTTTAAAGTGTATTGAATTTGTAAAAATCAGTATGACAACCACAAAACAGACGGTCTTTGACCATTGTTATTTGTGTGTACGTGCAAACACTGTATCATTATTATTTTATTTCATTTAACAACTTTTTATTCTTCTTCTACTGAGTTGGGTTATTATTTGTGAAGTACCTAGTGGAAATTTAAACAAAATTGAATATGACAATTTTGCTGTATTACATTACTATCATAAGTTGACTCAGCTTTATACAAACAAAAGCCTAGGTGCCACCCGGTTTGGCTGGGCTCCAAGGCAATATGGTCAACTTATGACCTAGCCTAGTATTAAAGTCAGATCAGTTTTTCAAAATATTAGTTTGAACTTGTGAATTAACTTTATGTGATATATTGTTAAATTTTAAACATGTTTAATCGCAAAGGAAAATTACTCATCCATGTAGGCCTATAAGATCACTCTCAGCAGGCATGTAGAAAACGTCCCACGTCAACATAAAGAAAATTTTTTGTACAAACATAAATCTTATTGCCTGTATCGGTGCAAATTAGCTGAATGTTTTTATATACTTAAATTTGATAGGTCTATGTAATCTAGCTACACACTTTAAAAATTTACTTTGGTAAATTAAATACAATAACACTTATACTTAATAAACACCAGGGGATCAGCGCAATGTGGGGGTGCACGCCTCTTAAGCAGATTCTATGGATAGAGCAAACATCAAGAAATATTGAAAGGAGTAGTGAGGTGCAGATAGAGGGTGCAAATCAGACAGAAAATCTTGTTTTTTGTGTAAAATTTCACATTGATTTATTAAATGTAGGAATTTCCCATTTTAAATTCATAATACTGTACAACATACCGGTACTGCTTTTGGCCAATCGACATATTTTTAAATATTTAACAAATTGTAAGAGCTACAAATCAGAAAGATTTCTTGATTTGTTTTAGCGAATTTCCTGGGAATAAGCTATAGTACTCATGGTAAGACTCGGACCCGGGACCGATTTACTTTTTCGTTTTGAGGTCCCTAGAGACCAAAAACACCATCTGTTCAAATTCATGTATACTGTATGCTAGCACGATAACTTGAGCAAAAATTTTGATGAAATTTGGTAAAAACATGTAAACCTAGATTTATTTGAACGCGTTCGCGAGCCAGCATGATCAGACTATGGGAACGTTTTTTATGGGGGATTTAAGGGGTAAAAATTGGGTTTTCCCATTTTTGACCTGTCCCAAAACATAAAAATTTTCAATTTATTTCCATCCCATTTTTTAGAGCTCAAAAAATTAACAATGTAGAATTGAAGCGTTGTTTTGTGCCTAATAAGTTACGGTACGGAGAAAATTACAAAAAAATGTAATTAAAAAACTCCCATGTTATTCTTATGGAGAATAAGTAAACTGTTGTAGTTTGCTTGTTTATCACATTTTTTTTATCAAATTTCAAAATACTTACTAAACTATTGACATATTCAAAAAAACATGTTTCTTACCATCCCTATTGCAGCAACCCTAAATACTCGTTAAACTAATGCTGTTTAAATAGGGAATAAATGTGATATTTTTAAGGAGACATTTTAGTGTAAATCCAATCTGGCAAATGGAAATTCGCTTAGTCTGCAGGTTTGCAGTGGGTGTATTTTATTATTTATGGTTTAAGATAACTCTACTGAGGGAATTTTCCTTTTCTTGAGTCTAAAATAAAAATTTGAAAATCAAAGTAGGTAGTCTTGAACAACAGACAAAAACAACAAAATAGTATCCAGGCCTACCTACTAAATTGTATGTAGGTACAGTAGGTTATGTAACATATTATAAATTTTATGATAAAAATTGACTGTGTTGTGTATGGTTATAAAAATAAAAAGTTTTTAACTCATCAAAAACTAATGTAAGCAGGGTTAAAAGAAAAAAAAAATCAATATCTCATAGCGTTGCAAAATATTATCGTCGAGTAATATTATTACTCAATTTAGTGCCGTATATGCAATTTAGTCAATCGTATGGTCCCCATTTCAGAATAAAGTATGTATACAGTATGGATCATTTGTGTAGTTTCTCCCATTTAGGCAACTTTGTTCCACTGCTATCAATGGTTGTGGATTCAAAACAGATGACGTAGGTCCGTTTAATATAATATTACCAAGTGAGAAGTAAAAAAAAACAATAATTAGCATTTTACTATGATTTGTAATGCTTTATTGTACGTATTATTAGTCTATTACATTAGTCTTGTTAATAATAAACCAAATAACATTAGTAACCGCCTATAAAATGTTATATTTTAAAAACTTACAATAGCAGTTTCCTTAAAACTGAATTGACACAGGCATACTATATCTAATAACATTAGCCTATTTATAATAGGTAAGTCCCAATAAAATAGGCGGATACCAGTGACACCACTGTGCAAATTAAGACAACGATGTGGACACAGATTCCTCCGGTGCATAACATTAACGTAACAAACACAAATGGAAATACACAGTGATCATGCACACACTCGTAATGGTGAAATAAAATAACTTACACCTTAAGAGTGGAAACGTAACATAAAACGTTCAAAATGAAATTCCAAAGTGAGGAGACTACAACACAACGACTGACCACAAGCACATACTAGTTCATCGCACTACGGCACAACACCCAACAACGTTGCCGTCCTACCTTGTCTGGTCTGACTGATTACTAGAGCAAGCGGTCGACTCTGCGTCTTCTAGAGAATCAGAGTCTTGAACGGTGTTTGTATCTGATTTTGCAACTTTTTTCTTTCCAGAAGGGCTATCAGAATCCAATCGCTTTCTTCCTTTCTTTCCAAAAATCGACCCTTTGGTGGTCAAACGTTTGATTGCCTTGTTCACTGATCGCGCCGACCAGCCTTTCTCGGGAAATTCACTGACTAACCTTTTCCCGTGCCAACCATTTTTCTCATAACACGTTTTGATCACGCTCAAGTCTTCTTTTGTGAAATGTGGCATAATCACTCATGAATGCGTTTAGAAGAATTACAGTTAGTTTATTTCAAAATGTCAATATTCATAAAAAATCAACAAAATGATTATATTACTGTCCAAAGAGTTTTTGTACTAGCACCACTCACAACTTTTGGTTTATCAATTGTAAAGATCTATTGTTGTAAATTTTTGATCCACAACATTTCACACATTGTTAATATTTCATTTATGCTAACAACATAGCCTCTACAAAGACAGTCAAGCAACTATCAATATGATTCACAAACTTAACCTCTTTTTACCTAATCCTGAAAAAAGACAGCGGAGTTAAGACTCATTAAATAGCCATTTTATATTTATTGTTATTAATAAAATGTTTAAACTCGTATTTGTTACTTCATGCCTATCTTGGAGCTGCTGTAAAAAATACACGGCAATCAGAAAAAATAGCCTATAGGCTATTTGGTAGGTAAATTGTTAGTTTATGGAGACAGAAGATTTCACCTCATATCTTGTGAGCTTAAGTTATGCAGAATTACGTCTAGATAACCACTGTAGTTAGGCCTAATTCAACAATTTAAGTTATTAAGTCTCCCAATAAATATTAATCTTTTGACAGTAACTTAAAAACTAAGGAGGTAAGTTAATATTTTGTAACTACTTACATAACTTGGGCCTACCATATATAAGTTAACTTTACTTAGCCTACTTAAACATAAGTAAGTAAATATAAATAATTATTTCAATTTTAACTTAATGGGTCTGGCCTACTAAAAAAACCTGAACCAACAATCCAAACGCTTACCATAACTTTGAAGGCCTAGCCCTACCGTTTTGCAGTTTAGGTTGTGTTACAATGCCTAATTTAGCCCTAAGTTACACTAAGTGGGTAGACTTCCGGATCTGTTGGCACAAACAACCGAATGAAAATATCAATCGATAGGTATCGATTATTCGATATATCGTTTGGTTAACTTTATTGGCAAGGCATATGAAAGAAGGTGTGTGCATAGTGACGTCAGTGCGAACAAAACGTGTTTTATTTTACCAAATCATATGTTTTCTTGTAATTTTCCAAAGACTTTTGAATGACAATCATTACGAATTAGCATTGAATATATAACACTATTTAGCGTTTTATATACAATATAGTGTTGTACTCAATATTGAATATAGTCATAGTGTTATACAGGATATTCAATGGTGGTAGTATATAACATTTTGATAAAACAGTAAAACAGTAAATACTGTCAGTGTGGCTGCCTAACAGGCAATATATTTTTAGATGACCATACAAATAGTTTTAACATAGGCCCAATACCTTTTTTGCAGCTCCTACTTTTGTTTTATATAGTTGAAAATCTCTCATTTAAGTAGCCTTAGTGGAAAATAAATAGTTACAAATAAATTGACAAGATTGTATTTACATATATTTAACAAAACAGCACAAAACTACATAATAATAATTGCAGTCACGTTATACGTGTCTTACACAATCTCGGCAGCATCCGCGATTATCTCAGAATCCATGACAATATTTGTGATTGCGGCCATATCTCGGATCATATCTCAATTGCGGCAACAGCCGTGATAATTTCCATCGATGTATAATAACTAACTGTAATGTAGAGTTATTATACATCGATGGATTTCTTGTGATTGCGGCCATATCTCGGATCATATCTCAATAGCGGCAACAGCCGTGATGATTTCTTGTGATTGCTGTGACGTCCTGTATTCGCGATGGTTTGCTGCGGTCGCGATTTTGCAACGAGACAGACCATTCGGTAAGCGTCTCGTAAATTTTTGAAGTTATTAAGAAAAACCAAAGTTCGAGGGGCTTTCATACGGGTTTAGTATAGCACTTGGGTATGTCACTAAAGTGTAATAAAGTTTCTACAACTTAAGCTATATACTGTATTTCGTTTTGTGTTGTTTTTGTTAAATATACGTAAATACAATCTTGTCAATTTATTTGTAACTATTTATTTTTGACTAAGGGTACTTAAATGAGAGTTTTTCAATTATATAAAACATGCAAAAAAAGCTGCAAAAAAGGTATTATATTAAAAACTATTTGTATATGGTCACTTAAAAATATATTGTCTGTTTGGCAGCCACAGTTACAGTATTTACCGCTTTACTTTTTTCGATTAAAATGTACTCAATATCAAAATGTTATATACTACCACCATTGACTCTATAACACTATGACTATATTCAATATTGAATACAACACTATATATATCGGATATAAAACGCTAAATAGTGTTATATATTCAATGCTAATTCGTAATGATTGTCATTCGAAAGTCTTTGGAAAATTACAAGAAAACATATGATTTGGTAAAATAAATAAAACATGTTTTGCTCGCACTGACGTCACTATGCACACACCTTCTTTCATACGCCTTGCCTTATTGGTACTTATAATACCATAAGGTAATACCATATATATTACCATAAGTACTTAAAATACGGGCACCTAACCAAACGATATATCAAATGAAACAATCAAATAATATTTTCGTTCGGTTGTTTGTGCCAACAGATACGGAAGTCTACCCCACTAGTAAAGCTGTTGCACGACTTGAGGATTAAGTTACGGGTACAGTTTCTTAACTGGGCTATGCTAATATCGATTGAAACTATAAGTAAAATTGAAAATATTGATAAATAATCTATATTTTTAAATATATCTATTATAAAATTAAACTATCATAACCTAACCTAACCAACCAAACTTGCTGATAATGAAAAAAATCACATGAAGGTTTACTAATCGAATTGATAGTTTCAATCAATATTAGCATAGCCCAGTTAAGAAACTGTACCCTAAGTTACTTACTGGTATGGCATTATGTTGAATCCAAAGAAACGATGGGCTGCACTTTACGTTCCACACTCATTCGAATGAATATATCAATCGATATATCAAGTTTGGTTAGTTAGGTCCGCTTCAAAAGGCAAGTAAAAGGGTTACTCTTGGCCAAAAGTTGCTACAGTGTCCGTGAATGTGTCGCTGATGGGTTTAATTTTAATTAAGTTTGAAGAAGATTGTCACTCGTAAATCTAGTTGATTAAAGCACAATTGTTTTATTTTAATTTTAGACGTAAAGACATATTTTGTTTGACATGACTAATGCAAATTTGTATTTGTTACTTTGGTTTAATAAACGAGTTATTGAGAGTTATTATTGAGTTATAGGTTAGGTTCTAACCTAACTAAGTAACTGAATGAAATAATCGATAACTTATATAGAATAATCTATATGCCTATGTCAAAATTTTTCATTTCAATGGGTGTACCTAGGACGTAGAGTAAAGTGCAGCCAAACGATTATCAACCCATTTGATCAACTGATTTGGAATAGCCTAAGGTAAGAATAGTGCTCATTGGTCAAGTTAGCCTAAGTTACTTCGTTTTAAACTTAAGAGTCTAGAGAGGAATTTTAACGTTTTGCATGACAAAACTTACTCAATACCTCTAACTTATCTTAGTTAGGCTAAGTAAAATGGCTTTACATTAAATATTAAATCAATGTGGCATTGAACCAATAATTCTACATAAGAATTTGTTTATGCTAACTTAAGACCTTTAAAAACATTCAAGAAGACAGCCCAAGCCTTTTAAACTTAAGAAACAAAGCTCACAACCACAGACAAAATAGACCATAATTAAGTTAATTGGCCTACCGAATAGTCTGTGCTACAACCAATTAAAATGTCTTAAGTTACAAGCCTTTGAGATTTAAACATAGGCTAACTTAAATAACTCGAATAACAGCCTATTGACAGATCAGGATCAAGTTTATTAACAAAGTGTAAAGCAAAATCCATTTTTGTCAAAGTAAAATTCCAACACAACAATGAACAATCACAGCAGACCAAAGTAGACCTGTCAACAACTTAAGTAGGCCCGAGTAGGCATACCAAGTTAGCTTATGATCTTCAAAACATGGTATTTTTTAATGCTAACCTTTTTGGTAGGATATGCCTAGTTCAAACAAAGTTGAGCTTATCATTTAACTTAGTTACAAAGTTCTTTAATTTGACTTTAGAACTATCACAAAACTTGGTAGCTGGATGGTTCAGAGGTGAGTTCACTCACCTGGGTTTTGAATGGTTGATGCAGATTATTCAAAGCTTTCTGCTATTACAACTGTGTTATCTTAACCTGCTAAGCCAACAAAAGCAATATCACCATGCTGGGTGAACGTTTGTTTTAAATAAAATGCAAAGGTTTTCGAACACTGGAAGGTGATGTGCGACATCTTTGTGTCAACAAAATGAAAGCTTAAGCTAGTTTAATTACTTGCAGCAGCATCCTGTGGTGCAGGTTTCATTTGACCGCAAATAAATGGAAACATAACCTAGCAACTACTTTAAAATGCATCGAGGCGCTTTAAACTGAACTTCTAGCAATTTTAAACTATTTATAAACTTATTTTTTTATTAAAAACATACCTGAAGGGGTCAATCAAGGACGTCCCAATTTGTTAACTGGTTGACAAATCGATTACAAAAGTACCGACAAGGTGTTGATTACAATTTCAGTGTAACAACATATTACATTTCAAAAAGTTACCGAACTCTAAAACACATCAAAAAGTTGTATTTGAAGTAACCGAAAATGATTTTTTACACTTAACACATTAATTATCAATCACTAAATACTTTTAAGCTCACGCAAAAATTAACAACTGATTCAATATGGCGTGGCCTTGTTTTTCTCTCATTCTCCCCAGTTCTTCCTTGTCTATCACTCTCTCACACACACGACACGCTCTCTCACTCTAGTAGCCTACTAGAGCGAGAGAGTAGCTACGGGGACCCCTTATGCATTACATGGATTCCGTGATGAAATGACAATAAACAAATGCACGTGACCTCTCCGGCGATGCTGATTGGTCGATACGGCGAAACTCAAAACCAATGCTTTGGTTGAGTGTGAAAACTGTTATTAAAACAATTTATTTAATCAAGTTTTCTTATATGTCTTATATTTTAATAAACGTTTGTAAATTAAAAAAAGATAATTAACAATACTATTTGCCCAGTTTCATTTATTGGCTTTACATATTTAATTTTTAACATTAGATTATAAATGTATCAACTACTTTAGCTTTAGGTATATCTCCTATTGATTGATAACGTTGGACACGAAAAAGTTTAAAGCATAAAGGTGTGCAAATAAGTAGACCTAGTGCTTCATACATGCGCTGCGCATTTCTTACTTTCATCCTAAAATTCCTAAACAAATAAAAATATTATTTTTTAGACAAAGGTTGAAGAGAGTCTTGTTCTTGTTACTTTTTTTATTGGTCTATTATTGTAAACCTTTTTACCCTAACACTAACAATAGAGATTTACTACTGTACAGTGTAATTGGCACAATAGAGAATTTTAAATTGCCTTTCGCATTGTCTTCTTGTGATGATATTGTGGTGATGTTTTGTACCTATTTAAATGTAACTAACTTTACATTAAGACAGTTTAACCATTGATATCAAACAAATACTGTAAAATTAATATACAAAAAAGTAAAGGATCATTTTTGATTTTTTCGATGTATATCTCACATTTTAACCCTGGTCCTGGAACTGTCGATTAGTTTCGCTTCGCTAAAATGTCAGCACATTTTGCTGCGATTTTAAAAATTAATACAAAATATTATCTATAAGAAATTTATTGTAAACCTGTACCTATAAAATTTGCTTCAAGAAGAAACATGGGGAATATTATTATGTTATTTGTAAGGGGTTAAATTTAACCGCAACGTTAATACATCTCTATTTATAGGTTGTACCAAAAGTGTCTTCTTAATATATATATATTTATCGGAATAAAAACTGCATTTTATACAATACAATTTTATAGGAAATATTAACTACATTTTGGAAATAAATAGGTATTGTTTGTTGTAAAATATCCCATAAAAATTATATTTATTATATTGTTTGTTTATAAAATGACTTATCAGCCGACCTTAAATTTTCCAAGTCAATGAAAAATATGAGGTAATTTTTTTTATTTATTTAATTTATTTATTTCCCAACGGATTGCACCATTTTACAAAATTATTATATGTTAAAAAATTATACTTTAAAATACTGGATCTTATTTTATGAACCATGGCACATCACAGAGGTCCCCCCCCCCCCTGCATGAGCCGATTGGCAGATATAGGGTTAAAGTGCTTCAATTAAAAAAAAAACTAAAAAATATATATATTGTCTTTGTAGGGTTATACATTTTTAGAAAGAAATTATGCAAAATTCACCTCACTCATAAATCTATATTGATTGAGAGGCGATAGAGCAATTCTAATTCCCACAAATAGATAGATATTTTTACATTCATATTAGAATGTTGAATCTTAATGAGATAAAAACTGAGGAGGTGTACCTGTTTGTATACAACATTTCTGAGTAAAATTTTAGGCGAGATTTGGTTGTTATTTGACATAGAATTACCTCTTGTTTCCATTGAATATATAGTTATCATCAGTGTTTAAGCATTATAATCATGCATTAAAGCATTATTTTTATTTGTGGATTATTTGAAGCTAACATTTTGCATAGGATCGTAGAATAAGTCAAATTCTACAGTAGTTTAGTAATTGTTTTAGCTGTACATACATAAAAGTTTACAAAGGGCAAATATTTAGGAGTACTGTTTATCTTTACACTTACGCTTTCTTATACAGCACACAAACATTTGAGTAGATTCAAGAACGGATCTCCAGAAAGCGTTTGACAGCCTAGACCATAAACTACTTCTCCAAAAAATATCAGCCCTAAACATCAAAAACAAAGCTCTAGACTGGATAAAAAGCTACCTCTACAATAGACAACAACTCATTGAAATTGAACACCAAAGTGGAAACTTCATTACCAAATCCAGATCAAAACTGCAAACCATCACTCAAGGCATACCTCAAGGCTCAGTACTAGGACCCCTACTCTTTCTGATCTACATAGACACCTTCCCCACCCTCCTACCAGCAGACAATACATGTATAATGTTTGCTGACGACACGACCATTATAGTCCCGGGCATACCAACACCTAATCTAACAGAAAAAACAATAGACACAGCAAAAAAAATCTGCAATAGCCTAAATCTCCGAATCAACAAATCTAAAACTGTCTGCCTGAAATTCACCCCAACAAACAAACCTCTAACTCAAGAAGACACAACAAATGCCAACCCCACAACCAAATTCCTTGGCATCATTCTTGACCAGCAACTAAACTGGCACCCCCACTTGGAAAGGCTCCAGCGAAAACTCTCATCAGCTATCTATGCCCTCAGAAGAATCAGGGAAATCACCAACGAAGAAACTACTAAGATGGCTTACCATGGAATCTTCTCTTCACACCTGAAATTCGGCTTAATTGCATGGGGAAGTGCCAGCGAAAGCCTATTAAAAGAAATACAAATCATTCAAAAGAAAGCAGCCAGAATCATAGACCAATCCCACTACCTCGAACACTGCAAGCCCCTTTTCATAAAACACCAAATTCTAACCCTAACCTCTCAATACATATTTGACACCATCAATTTCATAAAACAAAATCCGCCTGAAACCAGACAAACATGCCACAACCACAACACCAGATCAAAATCGAACTATAACACCCAACAAAACAGATTAAACAAAACCAACAAAACTCCCACTGCAATGGGAGCAAAGCTCTACAACCTACTTCCACAACAACTCAAAACAATAAACAACGCAAAAAAATTCACTGCTGCACTAAAAAACTACCTCCTTCAAAGACCATACTACACCATCAAAGAGTTCTATGAAGATCATAACTACCACATAGGGCTATTATAAGAAGAGAAAGAAGGAACTTAAATGACGATTCTCCAGTCTCTACGACTGCGATGAAGAGGACCTATGTAAGATGTATGTAAGATGTAAGATGTAAGTCACTTATCCTTGAGAAATTTTGATCTTATTTTAGTACATTTGTAATTACAAATACTTTTCATGCTAATGGTTTAATCAGGCATAAGAATTAAATTATACATTAAATAATATTTTAAAAGGACAATGACTCTAAAAAGATTAAGAATTACTAATATACTGTAGTGTCTTAGTATTAAATTTTTAGTTCAGTATCTAATTCTGGTTGTTGAATAAAGAAAATTTTACATAGTTCTTATTTCACGTCAAGACAACAAATTTGCATTTAGACTGACTCTAAAATATAAAAAAAATCTTAATGTTTCACCAGCTGTTTTGCTCCTTTCGGGAAAACTTTTGAATAGTGGAATAATTTATCAGCTATGAAATATGACTTCGAAAATTGGGAATAATTATCAGATGATGGAAATAAGCTATTAATTAAATTGGATACTTGTCCTACTACTTTGAAAGTAGGTTATGAAGCTATTTTCCAATTTGCTTTCATACAAAACGAAGTTAAAACAATCTTATATTTTCTTTGTTTAAAAAATTCTCTTTGGGTGCTCTCCGACAATGAGGCATGTAGGAAATCGGAACGCTTATAAAGACACTTTGAACCAACAGAGAAAAAAATTCATGCTACAATCAATTTACATGTTGGTGTCTTAAGCATTTATTGCTTGTAATGATTGGTCGGGATGTAGTTTTGTATCCTATCTACATCACAATGAGTCCATGATTTTCTTCTTTCAGAGATGTTCAAAACATGTGGCTTAATCCCTATTTGAGAAATTTGATAAAACTACTGAGGTGTATTGGTAATTAAGATACAAAATATATTAAAATTGAATTGTAATCATTGTTTTTGGATTACTTACAAGTATTTACCAACTTAGACATTTTTTAAAATTTTTTTATTGGTTTAAATCAAATTGTTACCAGCGTTGCATTAGGCCTCGGGTACGGTACAAGCGGTGAGCACCATCTGTCATCAGGTCTTATTTAGTTGCGTGTTAATTATTTGAAGGTGGCAACGACACTTCTGAGCAGTGAGTGACGGTAAGCAGTGCTGCTTATAGTTTCAAGTCCAGTCCAATTCTCGCTAAATCACCACTCAGAAGAGCAATAATTCAGTTTGGTTGTTAAAAAATTTTTACCCCCCCCCCCCCCCTCCATTGTGTTCTATGCCTCTTTTTTATAAACACAGAGTTTTTTCGTAAACAGACAATTGTCAGATAATAAAAATAAATGCAATTTCTCCTGTGGGACTGCAAAGTTTGCCATCTTAAACTCACTGACACGACACAAACAACAGGGGAAATTCAATGAGCGTTAAGAAAATTGCTGCTTATATGTTGCTTGGGTTGCTACCCCCCCTCACTTGTACCTGAGGCCTAACTCTTCCTTACTTCTTATACAATTGATCATTGTACGCCTTATGTACCTTTAAAGATCCAATATGGCATTAAAGGAATAATAAATTACTAATATTAAATTGATCTCTAGACTCACCAAGGGAAGAAAGGAAATGAGGAATAAAATAGTCAGAGTAAATGAAAAAATAACATTTATTGACATCCGATACAGGTATCAGGCCGTCTAACAATGAGATAGTACAATCTTCTCCGAGTGACAGTGATATCTAACCTAGGATGGTGTTACATTCAGGTACTTGGGACCCGTAGGTGCTCGAACCTTTGACCACCACAGAGCTAGTTTGGAATTGGTTCTTGACGAGGAGCCCACAGACTATAGTCGAGGACAAGTTAATGGAGACTCAGGCCAATGGAACTATTCCCCGAGTCAGATATTGTTCACAGGTTACTGCCGCTTGGCTGAAATCACACTAATGATACTAAACTAACATTTAAT